CCCCCTCCCCGTCCGGTCAGCCCCTCCCCATCCCGTCCGTCCCTCCCGGTCTCGCCCCTCCCTGTCCCGTCCCTCCCCGTCCCGCCCCTCCCCGTCTCGCCCCTTCCGGTCTCGCCCCTCCGGGTCTCCGCTGCGCCCCCATTATTGCTCATACCCTTGAAGCCCCCGTGCTCCTTGACGCCGCCCGCTGCGTGGAGGCCGTCTCGCGCCCCCGCTCGTGAATGCGGTGTTCCCGGGGTCAGCTTGGCGAGGGCCCTCGGCTGGCAGGCTGGCAGCCGGCAGGAGACCAGGCCTGCGCTGTTAGCCGATGGAGCCGAAGCTCCGTCCACGCGGGAGGCGGGAGCGCGGGAGGACAGCGCGGAGGGAGAGCCAGGAGCCGGCTGGGAGCCCTGGCCGAGAGGTGGGCGCCAGAGGGGCAGCGGCCGAGATGCCGCTGCCGGCGGGCAGGCAGGGCTTCCAGCCCGGCGCTGCTTCTGGGACGACACGTGCGCTCGTGACTCCGCCGCAGAGGACGCGCGGCAGCCCCTGGCTGAGTGGCGAGCGTCCCCGAGGCGCGCGTGTCCACAGGCCCAAGACGACCGCTGCGGGGAGGACGGTGTCGCTTTGCGCGCCCTTGGGGGACTGGGGGACGGCCCTGGTGGGGCCGGGCGGGAAGCTGCCCTAGCGCTCAGGCTCTCTGGCCGGAGGCGCCCCTGCGGCCAGTCTGACTCAAGCGCCTGGAAGCGCGTTGCTGAGTCGTCAAACAGGCTGCAGGAAGCAAGAGGGAGCTTCCCTTCTGTGGAGATCGGGCGCCTCCCCTCCGTGACGCTCCTGGCCAGTTACGGAAACTTAACCCCTGGGGCTTGCCCCTCTGACCCCTGCTCCTCTGTCCAGGCGCCCACTGCAAGCTCAGCGTCCACGGCCCGTGCGACGTTCAGATAAGCTTGCGCTGCGGTTTCGGGTGCCACTGGCCAGCTGGGGACGCCAGTCGCTGGTGGTGCAGAAAGCTCCCTTGAGGGCTTTCACTGGCCCGGCTCCTTTCGGGAGCGTCGTCTGTCCCGTCACAGCAGACGAGAAACTTGCTTCCTGCCTTCCAGACTCAGACCCCACCCCGGAGACCGGGGAGCCCCCTCTGAAGAAGAGCACCGAGGCCGTGGGCAGCCTCATGCGCTGCAGCCCGGGGTGCGCCCTGCTGGGGCGGCGCTGGGGTCACAGCGCCCTGTTTGCGAGGCGGCCGGTAAGTTGAGGTGCCCCGTGGACCGTGAGCCTCCACCAGGGGGCCAGCGCTATGGCCGCAGCCCAGTGGAACGCCCCTGAGAAGTCACCTGACGTGCCTCCGGAGGCCCCGTCTCCCCCAGGAGCATTTGCTACGTGGGGAATGCCAGGCCCTGCCAGGCCCCGGCCCTTCCCGGCCAGGCCGCTCGCCAGAGGCCCGTAGCGCCCGGAGCAGCCTGTGTGTGGAGCGTGTCCCCTGCTGGCCAGGCCGCGCTTGCACGGGCCCCGTCCCCCAAGCGGAAGCAGAGGCTCCGTCCGCGCTGGCTCTCGGCTCAGACAGGTCCGCGCGGCCGGCTGCGCTCAGACCTCAGGCAGTCCCGGGGCGGGGTCCCGCGGCACGTGCTGCGGGGCCGTCCAGAAACCGTGTCTTCACCATTGCAGGGCCTGATGACCGTGGCGAGCCTGGCTGTGTCCCTGAGGCTGGACCCGGCGCCCCGGAGTCTGCATGCGAGCGTGGTGTGGGATGCGCGGAGCGCCCTGGGGCCACCTGGTAAGGGCCTGCGGCTCCCAAGTCTGAATCCCCCGGGGGCATCAGTTCCTGGCTTGGGATGGTGGAGGGGGGGCCTTCCAGAGGCGGACGTTTGCTCCCCTTCCCTGCACGGCTTCAGCTCTTCCCCTGCAGACAGACGCCCAAGGCGCCATCTTTGAACATCTCACTTTCTTGCTGCGTCTTCCTGTGGAAACACTTGGTAAAAAATCCAACTTCAGGAGCTCTTGTCTCTGAGGTGCCCTAGTGTAGCGAAGTCTCCGCCTCCCTGGGCAGGACGCCGTGTCGCCACCGGCCACGTGCCGGAGCCCGGGCAGGACCTCTCCTGCCCTCCACTGCCCCGCAGCGGTGGATTTCATCAGCCGGCCTGTTCTGCTCCCCACTGTCTCTGGGGAGTCCTGTCACCTCCCTGCACCTCGGGCCTGTACTCCAGTTCTCTGTGCATAAGTCAATCAACCTGGTAATTTAAAAAATAAATAGTGACCAGTTAGTGAGTTCCCTACCCTTGTCCATGCAGCGGGTTCCTTTTTCTCTGGGGCGTGATATGTGACCTGTTTGTTTCCTTGGTATCTTTCAGGCCAGCAGTCGGTGCATGAGACCCAGGAACAATCCCCAAAGCAGGATTCATTTGCTGGCGTGGTAACGGGCAGAACTTCTAATACCGAGCTAGAGTGGTCCGCGTGCAGAGAAAGTTGGGACTCTGTGGGTGTATTTGAACAGAAGTTGGTAGGTCCAGGGCCCCCGTTCAGGCCAGAGACCATGGCGCACGGCAGACCCCTCTCCAAGGAAGGGGGGCGCGCGCACAGCCAGGCCGGGCGGCGGCTGCCCCTGGGGGGCTCGGAGGCGAGCGCTCGGGACTGGGAGGCCCCGGAGAGGGGCTGCCCGCCGAGCTCCGTGGTCACGAAGCACACGGGGCTCCGGGCGGGAAAAAGGCTTTTCCGGTGTAGCGAGTGTCAGAAGACCTTCACCCAGAGCTCCTCGCTGACCGTCCACCAGAGGATCCACACCGGGGAGAAGCCCTACCGCTGTGGCGAGTGCGGCAAGGCCTTCAGTGACGGCTCCTCGTTCGCGCGCCACCGGCGCTGCCACAGCGGGAAGAGGCCCTACGAGTGCGCGGCGTGCGGGAAGGCCTTCATCCAGAACACGTCGCTCACCCGCCAC